CTCATCTCTCCCTTCCCTGCTCCTGCCTCCCTGTGTCCTCTCTCCATCTGCAGTATCACAGCGACAGCTGCCAGTGTTGGGGCTGCTGGCATTCCCCAGGCGGGTCTGGTGACCATGGTCATTGTGCTCACGTCGGTCGGCCTGCCCACTGAAGACATCACATTGATCATAGCTGTGGACTGGTTCCTGTGAGTGCCCTTCAGCCCTTGCCGCTCTCTCTCCTCTGGGCCCTGCTTTCCCTTCAGGGCCCCCCAACCTGTGGGCTCCCATTCCAGCCAGCACCCAGAGTTCTAGAATTTTACAGTGCAAGGGGCCCTTGGAGAATGCTCCAAATCATGGCCTATGGATCCCAAATTCCATAGAATTAATCTTGGGAAGTAGGGCAGAGAGGAGACAAAGGATGGAAGCTTTGCCCATCGACCAGAAGGGTCCCCTTTTTACCTTTTTTATGGAGAAGTCACAAAAAGGTGATCTGGGGGACAGAGCTGGCTTGCAAATATATTTTTTAAAAGCCTTCAACTTTAAAACAGGAGGTTTATCCCTGGCTGGTGTGGCTCAGTTGGTGGGAGCATTGTTCTGTACTCCAAAAGGTTGGGGGTTTGATTCCTGGTCAGGGCACATACCTAGGTTGTGGGTTTGGCTCCCAGTTGGGGGGTGTATGGAAAGCAGCCAATCAATGTTTCTCTCTTCCCCTCTCTCTAAAATCAATAAACATATTCTAAAAATTAAAAACAGGAGGTTTGGATAAAATGAATCTGGACTTCCTCATTCTGTATGCTGTTCAGCTCACAACTCCTATATGCTGTTCAGCTCACAACTCCTAATTCTCTATATTGGATGTTCACATCCTTAAAAAATTTGTGTTGCTGACATCAAATGAGAGCATATCAGAGCTGAGCCATTCTACATCTGTTAGGAGGGGAAACTGAGGAGAGAGAGGACAGGACCCATTGGTCAGGGATTGGACTGGAATGAGAACCCCCACTTCTCAGACACCGGAAACCTCCTCAGCTGCATCCTCTCCCCTCTGGTGCCCCTCAAGCCTCAGTTAATGGAGTTAATGGTTAATTTTCTCTCCTCTCCCCTCCCCAGCGACCGACTTCGCACAATGACCAACGTGCTGGGGGACTCCATCGGAGCAGCTGTCATTGAACATTTGTCGCAGCGGGAGCTGGAGCTGCAGGAAGCTGAGCTCACCCTCCCTAGCCTGGGGAAGCCCTACAAGTCACTCATGGCACAAGAGAAGGGGGTATCCAGGGGGCGGGGTGGCAATGAGAGCGCCATGTGAGGGGTGCCCTGGGGAAGACCCACTGCCTGAAGGACCGTGCACTGAATGCATGGTCTGTCCGGCATGTTTGGGGAAAACGGAGATAAAGGAGCAGTAAAGAAAGGATGTCCGTGGTCTTTGTTTCTCTCTTACCCTATGCTGAGACCTTGAGGGAGGGTGGTGGGCAAGGCGGGGTAGAAATGTTTTTCCTGGGGTTGTGCAGACAGGAAGCTTCAGGTTCAACAAGCTGAGGGGTCATCTCATGTTCCTCATTTTCTGAAGGAGCAGCATCATTGAAGGAAGTAAAAGGAAAACCACTATTTCTCATAATCAAACGATATTCATGGCCTCCATGCTGGGTGGTCCCCAAGGCCACCTTCAGGTTCCGCGATTGGCTAGAAGGACTCACAGAACTCAGACAGACTGTGGTGTTCATGTTTATGGTTTATTGCAATGAAAGGACAGAGATAAAAATCAAAGGCGAGAAGCACACAGAGCAGAGTCCAGGGGACATCAGATGTGAGCTTCCAATTGTTCCATCTTAGTGGAATTGTGTAGCTGGCACTTAATACTGCCACAGACGATGCGTGACAACACATGAAACATTACCAGCTAGGGCATCGCACCTGAGCCTTGGTGTCCAGCGTTTTCACTGTGGGCTGGTTGTGCAGCCACGGAGTGCCTGTTGACCTTAATTTCTCACTCTTCAGGACCCCCAGAGGTCACACTAATACAGCATGGCCCACGGCCCCCATTTTGTTCACAATTTATAGTGAACAAAAACAAGCATTCACTATAAATTACATGGTCAGCATAGGCTGCCTGGCATGGCCTATGGACCCCAGTATACAGATATTTTTGTCAGGCAAGATGTCTCAAGGGCTCAAAGGACACCTTTCAGGAACCAATCAAAATCCAGTCCTTTCTTTGGGATGTGCAGGCTTGGAGCACCCCTGGCTCTCTGACTTAACCCTTTACTTCATACAGTCCACAGCTGGGGATAGAGGAAGCAGCTTCTAAAGGTGATGACTAGCTGGAACTTGTAACCCCAACTCTTGATGCTGACACCAATTGGCACCCCAGCCCCATGCTAACCACAGGGACTTCTGCATCTCCTTAGCACGCAAGGGTGGATGTTGGCCTGTTTGCATCATTTTCCTGCAGTCTCGTGGACCAGGTGGGACATTAAATGGGACCTTAATAAAAAGGCTTGGGGAAAACACAAGTAAACAGAGTAACATGCTTCTGGCTATCAGGTAACTTCGCGACCCCTTTGTCCAGGAAACATTAATTTTTTTCTAAGTCAAATTAAGCATCATGTGAGCACCTACGCCTCCCAAAGTTGAGGGAAATTGAAGAACAGGTGTGTTTTGGGATGCCCTCCAGCCCCATGCTTGAGGATCCTAAGAGAACCATTGAGTGTAAACAACGGAAAGAACTTGGAAGAGGGCTGAAGAATTCTTTAGTCTGTTTGTGGTTACCATGGAGACATATTGGCCAGAGACTAGAAATAATCCATGCAAAGGCAAGAGTCGCCTCTGCTTATTGTTAACAGAAGCGTCCAATCTGGGGTGTGGAGTAAGGAGAGACTTCAGTCAGGTGAACAGCTCGCAAACCGGGGAAACAGCCTCTTCTGGAAACTGAAAGTGTGCTCTGCTGAGTCAAAGGAATTCTGCCTTTTATATAGAAATTTCCTGCCCTGGTTTCTGATTGGTCCTTTTTTATGCAAATAAGGGCCCCAAGTGTACACAGTCTAATTGGTCCAAATAGCACTATCCTGATTGCTCAGCATCACATGTTCTGATGGGTTATTATGAAGCTGCTTTTATTGGTCAGTATAGTTGCAAATGAGCCCTGACAGGTGTGGTTCAGGCGGCTGGGCATTGTTCTGCAGACACAAAGGTTGCCAGTTCGATTCCTGGTCAAGGTAGATGCCTGGGTTGTGGCGTGTCCTGGTTGGGGCACATGCGAGAGGCAACCGATTAATGTTTCTCACATCCATGTTTCTCTCCCTCTCTTTCTGCCTCCTTTCACCTGTCTCTAAAAATAAATAAATAAAATCTTAGATGCAAATGAGGCTATAACTGTGCAGCTTCAAGCTGGGGCAGGCCTCAGCCTATCGATTGGAAGATGATACCAGGAACTCCCTCATAAAGGATGACTCAGACAGCAGAAGCCCAGTACTGGCGGCTCAGTGTGCGGCTTTCCCCTGAAATGCAGAGTGCACGAGAGGCCTCTGTCAGCAATGGCTGCTAGACTCTGGTTATGAATCTGTGCCCAGTTAACCACAAGGAGTCCATCTCAGCAGATATTGTCCTTCTTAAGGTTTACATTGTAAAACACCCTACTCCACAGTTGGCCATGAGGAACTCTGCCTGGGATCCCTGTCTCAAACCAGAATTTCAGCCTCTGGCCTTTCTTAGCCCACAGGCAGTGGTCTGCGTCCCTACTGGGCTCCGGGTGGGAGCAGGGTAGATTGCTTTGCTAGAGCTGCATGACTGGGTGGTTTAAACAACAGAAATTAATTTTCTCATAGTTTTGGAGGCTGGGAGTCTGAGTTCAAGGTGTTAGCAGGGCTGGTTTCTCTGGAGGCTTCCTTCCTTAGCTGGTAGATGACTGTCTTCTCCCTACGTCTTCATATGATCAGTGAATTTTTATATATCGATTCTGTATTCTGCAACTTTACTGAATTTCACATAATCTCAGAAATCATCTCTAAATGAGTTTGCAGGGCAACCTTCCAAAACAGGTACACATCCCATCACTGCTGAGGATATAATATTTTAAAAGCATGACACATTTCTTTTTGAGAGCTCTATTTTGTTTTTATTGCTGAGTAGATATCAATTCTAATTTACTCTAATAACACTGACAAGTTCATTTGAAAAGTAACGTCAGAGGTAAAAGTTTTATCATTGTCTTCCTCAGTCTTTCAAGAAAAAAAATCTGAAAATTTGACAAGTATTTTTTAAAGTATATTTTATTGATTTTGCTATTGCATTTGTCCCAATTTTCTCTCCTTGGCCCCCTTCAGTTCCCCCTTCCGTCCAGCAATCCCCCTGCCTTAGTTCATGTCCATGGGTCATGCATATAAGTTCTTTGGCTTCCCCATTTCCTATACTATTCTTAACCTCCCCCTGTCTATTTGATACCTACCAGTTATACTTCTTAATCCCTGTACCTTTCCCCCATCCTTTCTCTTCCCCCTCCCCACTGATAAAATCCAAATGGTAGGCTAAAAGAAATGCATGGGCACATGATACATGGAATGAGATGAGGTTTTCTTAATGAGTGACCTAGGAACCAAGGGCACCTGAACATCACAGCTGGAGGGTCATGAAGCTTCCCTCGGAGTGATCCTGTCTCAGCGGCAGGACCCTGGGGACAAGCCAGGCTCTGCCACCACCTCCATAATCCTGAACCGCTATGACCAAGGCAGTCCACAGAGTCTCCATCTAGGAGATACATTTATAATCCATGAGACTTATTTTAAAAAAATCCAAACTATTATTGAAGATAACTGAGAAAATGCCAGGTTTTATTCATTTGAAGTTAAAATGACCTGTTATAAAGTAAAAAAAAAAAAGAATCCAAGATACGACCCAAAGAAAAATGGTGAAAGAATGGGAATACCTAAGGAAAGTGTTGCTTTAAAACATAAAATCAGGAGAATGAAAAATATTGGACAGAGGAAGCCAGGGTATGTGGTCATCGGTGTTAAGTGTCCAGCTACTCATGACAGCTCTGTAACTGCTTTATCCCTGACAGTTACCACCCTGAGGAGGAGTCCTTCCAGGGCCCTCTTCATGTCCCTGTTCCTGAGACTGTAGATGAAGGGGTTCAGCATGGGGGTGACCATGGTGTACATCACTGAGGCCACCAGAGTTTTCCTAGAGGATGAAGTAGCTGCAGAACTGAGGTAGACCCCAAGGCCAGTGCCATAGAATAAGGAGACCACCGACAGGTGAGACCCGCAGGTGGAGAAGGCTTTGTACTTGCCCCCAGCTGAGGAGATCTTCAGGATGGTGGAGAAAATTTGAGTATAAGAAAAGAGGATCCCAGAAAGAGGGAAAACACCTAGGACTGCAGTGATAAGAATCAGTATCATGCTATTGACAAAGGTGTCCGAACAGGCAATTTTCAGGACTTCAGGATAATCACAAAAAAAGTGTGGGATTTCCATGTTGGTGCAGAAGGACAGCCTCAGGACTGTCAGGGTTTCAAGCAGGGAGCCCGCGACACTAATGCTCCAGGACCCCAGGACCAGCAGCCCACAGAGACGAGGGTTCATGATGACCGTGTAGTGCAGCGGGTGACAGATGGCCACAAACCGGTCATAGGCCATCACAGTCAGGAGTAAATTGTCCAAGCATCCAAACACAATGAAAAAAAAAATCTGGCTGAGGCATCCTGTGTAGGTGATGGCTTTGCTCTGTGTCTGGATGTTCACCAGTATCTTCGGGACGGTGGTGGAGGTGAAACAGATGTCAGCCAAGGACAGGTTGCAGAGGAAGAAGTACATAGGCATGTGCAGGTGGGAGTCTGAGACAATGGCCAGGATGATGAGCAGGTTCCCGGTGAATGTGATCAAGTACATGAACAGAAACGGTGAAAAAAATAGAGGCTGCAAGTCTGGCTTCTCTGTGAATCCGAGGAGGAGAAAGTTTATGACTTTTGTTTGGTTTCTTCTTTCCATGGGGCTGCTGGATTGGCCCAGAAGGAGGGAAAAAAGCAACACAAATTTTACTTCACATAAGAAATCCTTGGATGATAGAAATATCCTTACTCCAAGTCCAGGGAAATCATACAGTCCTTTGTTTTGGTTAATGGTTGGCTGTCTTTGCTGACGAATTGTGGTTACTGTTGTTAGGTGGGAAAATGGTCTGTCTCTAGGTCAGTGACTCTCAAATTGTAGTCTCTGACCAGCATCACTTGGGAACCTCTTAGCAATGCACGTTTCTGAGCCCACCTGATATACTGAAGCAGATACCCGGTGTGGAGCCAGCATCTGTGCTTTAACACGCCCTCTTGGGAACTCTGACGCACAGAGTTGAGGACTCTTCTTGAGGAGTGGTTGCCTGCATCCCTAAGCAGTCATCCCTTTTCCAGCATCCCTCATGGCTGCTCTTGCGCTTTTTGCTCAGGACTTGGGGGAGAGGGGATTTTCCTAACTCCAGGCAGAGCTTCCAATAACTGAAGGGTTCCTTTATTGTGCTGTAGTTCCTGTGTATTAGATTTTTCTGGACCTGGGTTCTACTTCTGTTAACAAAAATAATAACCAGTTATTATTAATCATGGTTTACATTTCATTTATATTACTAATGTTTCTAAATAAATTGTCTAAATATAATGTCTTAATGTTTTAAACATTGAGTTTGTCTTTTAACATGAGCTTATCTTTTCTTTTTAGCTTTATTGATGTATAATAGATTTACAAAAATTTACACCTATTTGATGTATATATGTTGATATGGTTAAACATATGCATACACCCATGATACCATCACCATAATCAAAGCAATAAACATAACTATTATGTTAAAAAATTTTCTTGTATTTTTGTGTGTGTATGCACATGGTGAGAACACGCGATCTATCCTTAACATTTTAAAGTGCGCAATAACACAATCTGGTGTACAACAGATCTCTAGAACTTATCTATCTTGCATAACAAAAGTTTTATACCCACTGAGTGACAATTTCCCATATCTCCTCTCTCTGGCCCCTGGCAATGGCCACTCTATTCTTTGCTTCTATGAGTTTGACTGTTTTAGATTCCTCTTATCAGTGGAATTGTGCAGTGTATCCTTTGTGTCTGGCTTATTTCACTTAGCATAGTGTCCTCCAGGTTCTTCTATGGTGTTGCAAATGGCAGGATCTCTACGTAGTATTTTCATGCATTTTAGGTTTATTGTCATTAAGAATAATGCTCCTCTACATTATATCTCTGATGTTATTATTATATTAGGAAAGTTTTTGATTTTTCTGCATTTATAAGGCGTCATGTTCATTTTCTGGATTTTCTGATTAATTTTAAGATTTAAAAAATTAAAAAAATTTCAATGACAGTTTACATTCAATATTATTTTGTGTTAGTTTTAGGTGTACAGCATGGTGGTTACACAATCATACACTTTACAAAGTGCTCCCCCTGGTATTTCCAGTACCCACCTGGCACTGCATACATAGTTATTACAGTGTTATTGACTGTATTTCCTATGCTGTGCTTTAAAGATTTTTCTCTAGTATTTATCTACTTTCTTCAAATAATATTAATTCACAACACCTATTTATCCTCAGTTCTTATTACATTGGTATGATATCTGAGAACACTTCAAATTTATGGTAAGAGTTGGAATTCTTATCCTTTCCTTCATGGGAATAATCCTAGGGTTTTGTGATTTAATATCATGTTCACCATAATCCAGGATATAGAATTTTCAAAATCAACTCAACTTGCAATTTTTTTGGCTTTATGAATTGCTACTTTTATTTCTTTGGAATACATTTCCAACAGTGGATTTGATCAGTCAAAGGGTTTCTGTATCCTCTGTTTTAGTAGGTGCTGTTAGATCGCCTTCCAAAGAAGCTTCACACTCACATTTCTTTCATCAATGTAGGAAAACACCTGTATGAGTCTGAGTAGACTCAGTTATACTTCAGCCACTAACAGTCCCGAAACTTCCAGGGCTAACGCGATAAACGTGTACTTTTCATTCATGCAAAATCAGATGTAAGCACAGGCAATTCTCCAAGCCAATTGTACTTAATGAAGTGACTCAGACTTCTCTGAATTTTGGGCTGTCATGTCAACAATCATCTGGAAGCCTCAATCATGTAACGTCTATTCCACAAGCAAGACAGCAGGTGAAAAGGGGAGGCAGGCCAACTGCAATTACAATTTAAGCGTTTGACACAGAATTCACACATATTCATAATGTCCTTTAATTAGCCAGAACTAGTGACATAGCCACATCAAACTGCAAAGGAGTGAGGGACTGCAATCCTGTGTGTCCAGCATCAACTTGAAATTTTTTAATCCTCACTCAAACACATTTTTTTCATTGCTTTTAGAGGGAGAGAGGAAGGGAGAGAGAGAAACACCTAGGTCATAGAGAAGCATGGAATGGTTGTTGCCTGTACATGCCTGGGCCAGAGATTGTGAGCACGCAGAAGCTCGCCGACACTGGGATCGAGCCTGCGACCCAGGGATGTGCCCTGACCAGGATCAGCCCACAGCCTTTTGGTTACAGGACGATGCTCCAACCAACTGAGCTACACTAGCCAGGGGTCAACTTACAATTTTTATCCCTAGATACCTTACAGGGACTTATAAAGGTATGAATAATTGTTTAGAGGTTAACCATTTAGAAAAAATAATGTTAAATGCTATCTTCACATTCCCAAACAAATTTCAGATGTTAAGTAGGGAGCAGGAGACTATACAAACTATTAGAAGAAAATATAGATACATATACAGATTATATAAATTTATACCTGAATATATATAATCTTTGAAAGTAGAAGTTCTCTCTCTGAATAGAGATTTTGGTAGACAAAAAAAAAAAAAAAATAATTGGACGATAAATTGAAAAATTTTGAATGAGAAAATGTGCCTTGCAGAAAATTAGAATGCAAAAAAAAATCCTATTTGATTAATAAAACTTAAAACCTTTACAAAATCTTAATTATAAATAATAAAAAGATTAATGTATTCAGTAAGAAAGAGGCATAAGATATTGATGATTCATAAAATGAAATGTAAATAGGGTAATTAAATATTTGATACTGCACTCAGTTTTAGCCAAAAGACCGAGAAGCCTTTTATTTAATATTTAATATATTAAATATTTGAGAAAATTTTTATTCTTACACTTAATCTATGAAGGTGAAGTTAAAGTAGATACCTTTTTCTCTGAAGAAGCTAAACAGCCCTTTAAAAAAGATGAACAATGCAAAATCCATCATGTAGAAAGAGAAATAAATAACACTTAAGACACTGCTATGAAAGAATATTTGGTCTGCTTTCCTGGGCTGGAGAAATTAAAATAGCTTTCAGATTTTTAATCTTTAAATATATAGTTGAACAACATCAAGAAAAAATGATTTGCAACAAGATACATGAAAATGTGGACAGGTATCATCTTTGAGTGATAACATGAATCTTCATGATTAGATTTATTTTCTTTTCTTATATCATTCAAAAATGCAAATGAACTCACGTGCAGTCTGTCCTCAAGAAACACACACTTTAACATTTGAGGATGTTAATTAAACTTCCTTGAAATAAACCTAGGTAAGGCAGGAAATTAAGGTAAAGGCAGAGTTAATGAATTAAAAAGAAGAAAAAACTTAGCCCTGGCTGGTGTGGCTCAGTGGATTGAATGCCAGCCTGCTAACCAAAAGGTCACAGCGTTGATTCCCAGGCAGGGCATATGCTTGGGTTGTTGGCCAGGTCCCCAGGAGGGGGCGCGCGAGAGGCAACCACACACTGATGTTTCCCTCTCTTTCACCCTCCCCTTCTCTCTAAAAAATAAATAAATAAATCTTTTAACAAATTTAGAACTGAAAAATAAATTTTATAGCCAAGTCTTTGGCAAAAGCAAACAAATAGACAAAAGTATAGTCTAATAAAAAAGAGAGAGAGAGAGAACGGAGATGCCTAAAATCAGGAATGAGAAAAATAAACACAGAGATAAGGAAATGCTTAAATTTGTTGTATAATATTATTTATAACTCTGAGTTAAAAATTTGAAAATCTCTAAGAAGTAAATTTATTTTGGGGAAAATATGAGTGTCCAAAGTTGATTCAGGATGGAAGATAACAGATCAATAATTAAGGAAGGAATGAAATAAACATGAAAACTTACCACCAAAAATGCCCTGGTGGGATCCTCTGGCAAGAACAATAATAGAAGAAATCCCCTTAAGTATTAAAGAAGAAAAGAGATTCTACCATCATTAATGTTATTTATTAACTTTTGGGAAGTTGCAACCAATGCAATGCAAGGAGAAAAAGATATAAGAGACCTAAGTATTGAAAAGGCAATTCTTCATTGTCTGAAGATGATGTATTGGCTATACACAATAAACTGGCAGCTGAAAAACTCTTTGGACTGTGTATAATTTTAGACAGGCAGTTAACACAAAACAAATATGTAAAACCAGCAGCCACATAAAAGTGGCATTTAGTGGCATACAGGATTTTCAGAGTGTTTTGCAACCAGTGCTTCCATCTAGTTCCAAAACATTTCATCACTACGGGAACTCTCTGTACTATTTTTGTAATTTTTCTGTAAATTTAGAATTATTCAAAAATAAAAATTACCAGAAAAAATGGGTGCAAGAGAAAAACCCCAGCCGTGTTCACATCTTGTTAAATCTTTTAGAAAATAGATTACAATTATTTCACATATTAACACAAATATGAATACCTTGGAACAGAAATTGGAAACTTGCAAATATACAAAAATGAGAGCAATATATTTACTGAATTAGCTAAAGTTTCTTGAGAACCTCCATATGTTGAGCACTTGCACTATCTTTTATACACATTGGCTTATTTGATCGTTATCACTCTTTTTTGACTTAACAATGAATACGTGCTTATAATAATGCAATGATGATAATTAACATGTGTAGGTACTCACTAGGTAATAGAGACAATCAATAAACTTCCCATGCAGATAATTAATA